TAAAATTCCCAAAAAAATAAAAAAAAAACACAAAAAATCCAAAACACTTTTTTTTAAAATTAAAAAAAAAAAAAAAAAAAAAAAAACATGCATTGGTTTTCCACTTCACAGTTATGTGATATTTTGTGTCAGTGGGGTTAGGGTTAGGGTCTTAATAAAATACATCCAACTTTGTTGGTGAACATGTTATGTGAACATGTTCAAAGGCTATGAATACTTTTGGAAAGCACTTTACTAAAGGATTTTCAAAGAAATATTTTCTTTGTTAATCCACCAACCTTTTCCAAGTTTCACCCTGTTCCCAGCATGTTGAACCAACTATGCCTTTAGTTCTCCTTTCTTCAGTTGCTTTTAGTAACTGAAGAAAGTTATTTCAGTAACCAAGACAGCATTGTTATGCTGGTTACAAGATGCAAATGGAGAGATCAAGTGAAGATCAAGATGATGCCAAAAGATACAGGCTGTAGATCAGAAGAAAGTGTGGAAGATAAACTGTGAGGAAATCACCAGCTGACAGAAGACTGAGGCTGCACAGCTTAACTTTACCCGCAATTCAACTAAACAGTCTTAAAAATGTTCATCTGTTGGAAAAGAAAAAGGATTTTTCTTTTAAACATGGAAAATCTTCCAGGTTTTGTGTTGTAGACGAGGAATCATTAATGTCCTTGATGTGCTGAAAATCTCAGAAGAACCACAGCGGCATGTTGGAAGTGGTAAAGAAATGTATGCAAGTGTTTTTATTCTCTCTTCTGCCGCCCAGAGGCCATTGCAGAAGTAGGCCACCATGCAGATGTATAGTACCATCTGCATGGTACTATCCATTATGGGGACTAGTTTCCCCATTAAAGACACACCTTGAAGTTCACCTTAACATAATACAAAATCTTGTTCATAAAGTATTAAAATTTCTGAAAGTGTGTTCAATACTTCTTTCAGATATTGTTTAAATCTTTTACATATAGCTACATTCCTGTTTTCCTTTGTATGTGTGGATTATTTCTGTTCTTGTCAACATCTAGTGTAAATTAGGAAGCAACTAAAGAAATTCTGGCTTCTTGGCAGGAAATGATAAATAATTAAGAGATGGTTCACAGACATTGCAAGTAAAAAACAAAAGTACATGGAAAATAGTGATAATACTTCTAATGATTGCCCTTTTCTTATCTAAGATAAGAGACTGTAAGGTTTCCCAATGTACGCGAGGAGGTAACCATTGTTTGGGTGGGATTTAGCATGCAGTGGAAAATTGCAGTGACTGACCACAGCTGCTGGGTATCCTCAGAACCAGCTTAGGAAGGCTTAAAAGCAAACAGTTAAAAGAGACACAGATATTAACCTTTATTGTTAATTCTCACACAACATAAAAACAGCATATTTATATTTAAAGAATGAGGATATGTAAGATGCCTCATTTGTTGATGCTGACTAGACATGGACTGGTGTGAGATTCTTATAATAACTTGAGCTTGAGTGAAAAAGAAAATCTGATCAAGTTTATTTTAAATAAATTATTTTGCTGCAAAAATAATATAGCAGCTTGATTGGTAAAGCAAAAATTTAACATTTAACATTTGTTTAAGCTTATTTAGATTTTTATACATCTATTTGAACAATTTGAACAAAAATATAGAACAAACATTGTTAAATTTAATAGTAGTTTACAAGTGCTCATTATACAGAGTTTTAGAATACCAGGCTGATATTAGCTTCTAAGTGGAGCTATCTGCTCATGTTGCCAGTAGCTTAGCAGGCCTGCTGCTTGAAGATTTTAACTACCGCTTTAAAGCAGTCTCACAGAAAAGCTGTCATGTAACTTTTGTCAAAAATTGTTTACATATTTGACGAAACTGTCATTATATTTCATAACAAATTGTGTTATGAAACAAAACAAAACAAAAATCCAAGCTCCTCTGCCTTCTCGGTCCGTGTATTTTCAGGCAGTTCGTTTTTTTTGTTTGAAATGAAAAATGAAAAAACGAAAATAGACTCTTTCATTTTTTAAACCAAAATTGGAAATCGGATTTTCTAGCGAAAAACGAAAAAACGAGTATATTTCCGTTTTTTCATTTTTCATTTTAAATGAAAAAACGAACTGCCTGAAAATACACGGACCCTTCTCCCAGCTCTCTGCTACCATACAGCTTGTAGCAATCGTGAATGCTAAGGCTAGTTACCATGGCTAACGATGAGAGCAGATGAACGGTTTTTCTGTAATGGTAAATTGTTTTTTCAGCATTGAACAGCGAGTTCACGAGGTTGACTGACATCGCTAAAGGTCAGCATAACCCCAACCAATCACAGTCTCGTGGCTGTGATTGGTTGTTTGTGGTCGAAAGCCTAACCATAGGATTATGGTTACGTTTAGGCCTGTAAGTCAACCAGCCTATTTGTAAAACGGGGCAAATGGAATATTGATGCACTGCTAAACTGACTTTATTAAGTTGCAATAAATTTTTCTTGCTCAAGCAGCAAAAAAATCTATTGGTTCCTTTATGTTTTTTTTTATTGTTGTGGCTTTGTCATTGTACATAAACTTACTGGCCACTTAAAGCCACCATTAGCTTCTCCCACTTTCCTCAGCACTGCAGCCAGTCTCACACAGTCATCCGTTCAACACCAAACCTTCACCAACAGGCAGAGCAGAGAGACCCATTCCATTTCGTGTCCAAATTGCAAATAGATCACACATTTTTAAAGCTCAGTAATGCTACTGCCAGCTGCCACGGAAACACTCCAACTCCTGACTCGCCACTTGGTGGGCAAGAGGGAGAAAACATTTCACCGGGATGTCACTAATTCTAACACCACACGCTTTTGGTGTGGAGAGAGTTATTTTCTCTCTGTATTCTTAAACTATGTGTTTGTAGAACAAGGATTAATGCAGTCTCATAAACGTGCAGAAGATTTTGGATGTTGTGATTTAACTTTGTGATGACAGTTACTATTTTGTGGCAATCAGCTGCTGTTGAGAGACTTGAGCAATGATCAATGAGCAATAAAATGATTCATGCATGTGAACATAGCACAGCTGCAAAGACTGCTGCAGCAGTGGTCAATACTCACAGCACTGATGAAGGGCATGTTCAAGATAGAACCAAGAACTGGTATTCTTCTGATGAAGCCAACAACAACTGGGAAGAAGCCCCTGCACACAAACCCAGAAGCAGAGAAAGAAAGCAAATTCAGAGTAAAGATTCTGAAGAAGAGATTGTGAGTACATGATGAAGTTGTAGTTATTTTCACTTCCTTTTACCTAAACAGGAGAAAAAATCCATAGATTTCCAGCACAACTCCAATGATAGGCCAGCCAATAAGGACTACAAACACTCCTCCCAGGAAGAAACTGGTGGCCTTTAATTTGTGCTTCTGAAAGAAGAAGCGGAACGTTCGCTCCAAGCCAATGACGAAAGCCAGGCCAGCGACAAACAAGATCTATGGAGAAGAAAATGGTCAGTGTGTCTTATACAGAAAACTGAGACCAAAGGACAAAACATCTGATCCACATGACAGATAACATAGATAGATAAAAACCTTGAATGGATTTGTTCCCGGGTCTAAATTTTTACACCTTTCCAGACTCAAATTTCTTGAGTTGTCATTTTTAAAATAAGAAATACAGCAATTCAGTGGATAGATGGATGTTTAGATAAAGGGACAGAGAGTAAAGAGGGAAAACACAAATATTTTTAAGAACTCTTTTTTTCTTTTTCCTTTTTTATTTCTACCATGAAAATACTTGTCAGACTGCAAAGAAACACCTGTTCAATCAGAACATCTCCAAAGAACTCAAACTGTAAATCAAAACCGTCTAGCCAATTTTCCCTTCCTTCTTTCCCCAAAAGACAATCAGAAGTACAAGAATTATGCATCAAGCTATTGTTACTAATCTTTAGATTTTAACTGGAAACAAAAAGTACATTAAAGTGCATGTGTGACTGATTGGCATGGATGACTGATCTGTTTATCAGAATTAAAGTGGAAGGGGGTTCTTAGTTTTGAAGAATTGGATGAACTACAAAAAAAATCAGGTGCATTGTTTGAGTGGTTGGTGCATCTCTTATAACAGTCATTCTGCATTACGCTAGAATGAACATACATAGCACTGCATTGTCGCCATGGATGACGCTACAGATGTAGATCTTGCAGCATACATGTGTATCACATGTATATCACATGTAAAGCAATACTCACATTTCCAATGGCCAAAAGCGCTTTGTCAAAGAACAGGATCATCCCAAAGAAGAGGAAAAATACGCCAAAACCTGTTAATCCCATTCCAATTTCTGACAAACACACATGCACCCACGCGCACACAAACACACACACACACACACACACACACACAGACATATTCAAATCGCTATAACAGCCTGTTCATTCAACAATATATTTTTTTATTTTTCTGCTGTTGCAATCCAAAAATATATGGTTGCTTAAAGATACTAAGAGGATAAACTGGCACTGATTCGGTGTTCTCTCCTATAATATGGAGATTATTTTTTAAATTAAGATTAACAACAATATAGGAATTTTATTCATTTATTTTTATTGTATTTAGTCGTTTCTTTATACTTTATATTTTAACATGTTCAAAATGAAGCCAGCCATATCATCAGTACCACCATTGCTAATATTTCATTGTAAAGCAATAAAATAATAAGACTGCTTGAAAACTTCCTTGTTTACCTTGATTTTTACTTTTAATTTAAGTATCTTATAATTCACTAAACACCAAGATAGTGGTGAAAGCAAGAGGGTTGCAAAACTGTTTAGCAATACGAAAAATTATTTAGATTGAGCCTATAAGTGAGACTGTTCAAGACATGAAAAGTGTAGATTGAAAGCTTCTGCAGCTCAGATGGTGCCACTTTGACATGGCTACTAGCTACAGTTTCTGTTCAACAACTAAGGTCTTACTTTGAGAGTCCGTTAGTGAAATCATCTTGCTGCTGAATCAGTAAGTAAGGTATAAAACAATACAAACGAAAAATAACAATAAAAATATATTTTAAATCCTTCTAATGGCTTGGATGAGAGCTGCCACAGAATCGACAGCCACGTCTTCCGGAAACACTTGTTATAGGGTGGTAATCTTCCGGGACACCTTTGCGAGCTACATTACAACACACCAAACTTTTTTTAACGTCACTTTAAATGCATACGTTTGTCATTAACCAAGTAAACGTATGTATTCGGCTTTGTTGCATAGATCAGAAAGCAATAAATAAATAAATAAATAAATAAATAGGCAGAACATGAGCAAAAAGGCTCCATTCGAACACGCTAAAAAATTAAGTTTCTTGAATGCGACACACGAAGGTTTCTTGATCTCTATGCCCTGCGAATTGTGTGACAGGCAGTACTAATGTGGCTGGGACAATTTAAAGTGTTTGTTTCAGACCGGACCTTACTCTTTATATATTAAATGTAAACTATAATATATTAGTTTTAAAGGTACACGTCGTAGCGCTCAAGTTGAAGAAGCTGTGACATTTTTGGAAGGGATTGTCTTACCTTTCTAAGGTCCAGTTCAACCAATTCATCTAATGACTAACCTAGCGGACTAGATTCGGGGATTAGTTTTCCTTTTTAGTCCCTTTGCTTTTCCTGTCTGGACCACGGTTTTTGACTGGTTATTTCGCTGTTGTTAAGCCAATCCTTAGCACATAGTTTCGACCAGGAGAAAAGCTACCATTTGGTCTTTTGGTTGGTATCTTGATTTTCTGAAGAAATCAATCATCAACACCTCATCATTAAACTCTTGGGTTTTTTTTTTTTTTCTAATTGAGCCTTTCTTGACCGTCCTCTGTTACATGTGCAGTCTGTGAAACTGGAACAGACTTCACATATTCTACGTTACTGGGCGTTCATGGTCTTCCACTCTTCCTGAGCTAAAGTGAACAAAAATAAGGCTGAGAAAGCTTAAAACCTGTAAGTATAAGTTTTTCTTGACTTTTTTTTTTTTTTTTGCATAATGCTATTGGTAGTAAAAATATTTAAATGTGTCTGCCTAAAGTACAGAATGACTTTTCCATATTTGTGACATCACGGTGACTGAGTTTGACGTATTTTATTGGAATTTACTGTGATACACTAACAAACCTCATAATGTATCATGTGAAGTACTTCCACTTAACATGATACAAATAATGTATGTGTGTATAATACAAATAAAATACACTGTTCAAAATCCGAAAAGTGTAGCATCTCAGCTTCTGTAGACATAAAATCCAGTTCACCTAATGACTAAATTGTGTCCATCCGTGTGTGATTTAAAGAACATTAATGATCAAGTACGGGCTGCACAGTGACGCAGTTGGTAGAGCTGTTTGTTGCCTTGCAGCAAGAAGATTTTGGGTTCTATTCCCGGCCTGGGGTCTTTCTGCATGGAGTTTATGTTCTCCCTGTGCCTGCGTAGGTTTTTTCCGGGTACTCTGGCTTGTCTCACAGTCCAAAAACATGACAGTCAGGTTAATTGGTTTCTCTAAATTGTCCCTAGGTGTGTGTGTGTGTGTGTGTGTGTGTGTGTGTGTGTGTGTGTGTGTGTGTGTACATGGTTGTTTGTCCTGTCTGTCTCTGTCTTGCCCTGCGACAGACTGGCGACCTGTCCAGGGTGTACCCCACCTCTCGCCCAGAATGTTAGCTGGAGATAGGCACCAGCAACCCTCCCAACCCCACTAAGGGACAAGGGTGTATAGAAAATGGATGGATAATGACCAGGTAGTACTGTCTATCCAAGGAACAGGGTAGACAGTACTATAGGGATAAAATTTAAGGCCTAGATAGATATATTTCATAATAGATCATTCATGAAAACAGACACAAGGCATCAAACAAACTCAACAGATTTAGTTTGTATGAAGGAAGGACAAGAACATCTACAGCTTCTCTCAAGCTATAAATGAGACACAGCACCCTGAACACACTCACCAAAGACAGACTTGGCCTTACAGTCAAAGCTACAGCATGTACACATTCGTTAATTCGTTTGCAAAAGTTATCGTCTCTAAATGTGTAAAGCTGTTAGAGTTATATCCCCAAAAGACTTAATCTTTCGCTGCATGGGTTTTGTGCCTGCCAGGCAAATCATCACTCCTTCACCCCACCATGCTTGAAAGTTGGTTTTATTAGTGTTTGAAGTGATTGACATCTAGTTACACAGGTTTATGGCTCATTGAGATGCAACTTCTCAAAAATAAACTTAAGCCATGTTAATGATGTCTTTCCTCCTTTGCATGGTTATAATAGCACCTGTATGCTTCAGACCACTAAGCTGCTTGGACTCTCTGTCTAGTAGAGATAGAGAGTCTCTGATGGTGATCAGATAATTGATCATCATTTTGCTGCTCTTTGCTGTTACTTTTTCTCTTCACACAGCTTTTCAATTTACTGTGTAAATCATGGCTATTGACTGTGCTGAGTGTTTTTCTTCTCTTGAGGTTATATTTAAATATTAGAACCTCATAAAGACCAAATAACTTCTAACACTAGAATAATAAAAACAAAATGAAAGCACGCAACTTAAAAAACTGACTGTAGATCATTTATAGAAAATTAGAATGAAAGTAAATGTTGCTTCTGAAACAGGCTTAACTAATGGGAAATCTGATTGTGGTTTAATCTTCAGATTAAAACACCACTGGAAAGATGGATTCTGGTGTCGGAACTAAAGGTGAGTGTTTCTTTATAATTTATAGTAGTTACCCCTAACTGAAGATAGAGATTCATGCTACAATTACGGCTCACAGTTGTGTTGGTAGCAAAAATATTGTGATGGTATGACTGCTCGGCAAGATATCACAGTTGACTCAGTGAAGACCAAGGAGGTGGATTTCAGAAGGGATAGGGATCCTCTTTATCTCCTGTACATTGGAGGATGTACAGGTGAACTCCATGTTCTGGGCATGGAGTTCACCAGAGCGTCACAGGTTGCCATTGGGATGCTTTTCCACTCCTCCATGATGACATCACAGAGCTGGCAGATATTCAAGACTTGGTGCTCCTCCATCTTCTGCTTGAGGATGTCCCAAAGATGCTCTGGGTCAAATATGGACCGACCCAACGCTGGGTTGTTTTAATTCAACTGGGTTGGGTTGATGGTTTGACCCAGCACATTGGGTCATGGCAACTAACCAAAGATTGGGTTAAATTGACTTGTTTAAATTGGTTAAATTGACCCAAAATTGGGTTGAAACTCATAACCCAACACAAGGGCTATTATACCACTATAGTTGGGTTAAAAAAAAAGATTTATTTAAAATTTCACTATATAAAAACAGGATTAAAAACCATATGAATTTAAAGTTTCTTTTATTTCTACATGATGCATATATAGAGCCAGCAGATTTCATTTACAAAAGTTACAAAACATAAGTAAGTTGTTTCAAAAGTATATAGTTAAATCACTTCAACTCATTTGGTTACAACTCCAGAAATATCTGTTACTACACATTAGAAAACATTTAATGTAGAGTCTGTTTTAAAGCAAACTACAAGTAAAACTTTCAGCCATTAAACAAGGAGCATTTTTAACGTCACTTTAGCATTTTTGCTTGTCTCCCTGCATGAGGACATACGGGCTGTCGCATTCTGTAGATGCGCCACCAGGTTTGTCCCAACCTGATAGAGAGAGAAGACAGAAAAACAGGCCATTAGTGATGCACTTATTTAAACCGCAAACAATTTGACTTACAGGCTGGATATCAATGAAACCATCTGAATGTCCAGGTTGATGGGTCTGAATCTCTTCTACCAAATGTGTAAGGTGGAACAGGGAGGAGTACTGGCAGCAGCTGCAGGACTACATCATCTTGTCTGTCTGGCAAACAAGCTTGTGTTAAAATGTTAAATGTTAAAAACAGTTTAGAAAACATCTCTTGAGCTTCAGTACCTTAAAGGAGAAAATTCCCTTAAGGTATGGAGAAGATTGCTGCTCCTTTCTCTTCTTGGCCATACAAAAGATCTTTGTTGAGAACAAGAGAGAAGACACAAAAACAGACCTTTAGGAATTTACAGGTAAAGAGCTACATTCTCAAAAACTAATTTCTGACTGATTCTAGTTTAGCACAAAATCTCACTATTGAATGTGATGCACTTATTTAAACAATTTGACCATGATTCAGAGATTAATGTTGACTTACAAGGTGGATATCAATGAAACCTTCTGAACTTCCAGGTTGATGGGTCTGAAACTCTTCTTCCAAATGTGTAAGGCGGAGAAGGGAGGAGTACTGGCAGCAGGTGCAGGGCTACGTAATCTTCTGTATCAAACATAAGCTAGTNTTAANATGTTGCAGTAACTAAATAGCATGAAAAATATTTTAGAGAACATTTCTTCTGAGCTTCAATACCTTGAGGGAGCAGACTCATGTTCTTGGCCATACAGAAGGTCTTTGTTGAGAACAAGGAGTTTAGGTTTCGCTTAATTCTCCTGAAGATCCTGGATGTAAAATTATAAAATCTATCAGAAAAGAC